ATAATTAAGATTCATTAACATAATCCAAAGTTGGGTTGTCACAATCACATTGCTCACTTATTTATTTTTTAAAATGGTAAAAATATGGTAAAAAAAGTTTTTATAACCAAAATAAAAAAATATGAATATATATTTGGCATATTTATTAATATTTTAAAACTTTAATTAAGAAATTATATATTTATTCTTAAAATATGTCTAATATTAAATTATATTTACATCTGAAAGAATTATTTCAAATCAGATTAAGTTAGTTCATAGATTTTATTTTGAGTAAATTACCAAAAAGTCATATCTATATATTTAGTGGTTGCTTAGGTCCTGGCAAAAAGTTTTTGAACCAATAAGTCCCATTAATAGGTAAAAAGACGTTTTTCCCTTTAATCCCAAAACTGAGAATGTTCTCAATTTCAAAACTGAGAATATTCTCAATTTTCAAACAGAAAATGATTTCAGTATGTAATTATCAAAATTAAAAAATTTATGTTTGGTTTCTGAGAAAAGTATGGGATTGAAAAGAAAGATAATTCTGCGAATATTCTAAGAAATTTATAATTATCAATTTTGAGAAATTTCTCAATTTTTTCATGATTAAAATTGAGAATATTATAAACTGAGAAGGTTCTCAATTTTAAAAACACTCTCTCTCTCTCTCTCTCTCTCTCTCTCTCTCTCTCTGTGCAATCTGTCTCAATCTCCTAATTGGTTTTCTCGTCTCACCAGTCTCTGCTACCTCAAGTTTCTCTCCATCAACCCCATTGATGAAAGGTGAAAGTGTACCTCACAACAACACTCAAAGTCAAACCCCCCAAAACAACAACAACAACGGATACGCTGAAATGGAGGAGAATTTTGAGAATGATGATGACATTCTCATCCCTAATATACTTATGAGTGAAGATATAATCAAGGGGTTTCAAGAGCTCAACAGAGGCTATCCTGGTTATACTGGTTTGGATTCGAGGTACGACATCGGTGGCAAGTTTTCGACTCGATTTTCGGCTCCATGAACACCTCATCCGCCACCAAATCCACCTCTTCTGCCGATGAAGGTGGTTGTTGAGGGCCGCTAATGTCGGGAGGCTTGGATTTTCCAGAGTCCGTATTTGTAGGCACCATATATGTAGGCACGACTGTAAGCTACCACCTCTTCCGCTGATAAAGGTGGTTGTTGAGGGCCGCTAATGTCAGGAGGCTTGGATTTTCCAGAGTCCGTATTTGTAGGCACCATATATGTAGGCACGACTGTAAGCTACCACCTCTTCCGCTGATAAAGGTGGTTGTTGAGGGCCGCTAATGTCAGTTCACCTCCCTTATTAATATTTTAAAACTTTAATTAAGAAATTATATATTTATTCTTAAAATATGTCTAATATTAAATTATATTTACATCTGAAAGAATTATTTCAAATCAGATTAAGTTAGTTCATAGATTTTATTTTGAGTAAATTACCAAAAAGTCATATCTATATATTTAGTGGTTGCTTAGGTCCTGGCAAAAAGTTTTTGAACCAATAAGTCCCATTAATAGGTAAAAAGACGTTTTTCCCTTTAATCCCAAAACTGAGAATGTTCTCAATTTCAAAACTGAGAATATTCTCAATTTTCAAACAGAAAATGATTTCAGTATGTAATTATCAAAATTAAAAAATTTATGTTTGGTTTCTGAGAAAAGTATGGGATTGAAAAGAAAGATAATTCTGCGAATATTCTAAGAAATTTATAATTATCAATTTTGAGAAATTTCTCAATTTTTTCATGATTAAAATTGAGAATATTATAAACTGAGAAGGTTCTCAATTTTAAAACTCTCTCTCTCTCTCTCTCTCTCTCTCTCTCTCTCTCTGTGTGCAATCTGTCTCAATCTCCTAATTGGTTTTCTCGTCTCACCAGTCTCTGCTACCTCAAGTTTCTCTCCATCAACCCCATTGATGGAAGGTGAAAGTGTACCTCACAACAACACTCAAAGTCAAACCCCCCAAAACAACAACAACAACGGATACGCTGAAATGGAGGAGCATTTTGAGAATGATGATGACATTCTCATCCCTAATATACTTATGAGTGAAGATATAATCAAGGGGTTTCAAGAGCTCAACAGAGGCTATCCTGGTTATACTGGTTTGGATTCGAGGTACGACATCGGTGGCAAGTTTTCGACTCGATTTTCGGCTCCATGAACACCTCATCCGCCACCAAATCCACCTCTTCTGCCGATGAAGGTGGTTGTTGAGGGCCGCTAATGTCAGGAGGCTTGGATTTTCCAGAGTCCGTATTTGTAGGCACCATATATGTAGGCACGACTGTAAGCTACCACCTCTTCCGCTGATAAAGGTGGTTGTTGAGGGCCGCTAATGTCAGTTCACCTCCCATCTCTTCACCTCCGTCGCCGCCGCCACCACAAGCGGCTATTGAAGCCGAGCACGACAAAGATGATGAGGAGAAGGTGGTGGAGAAATCAGATCTGATGATCTCTCAGGCGATCTCACCAAACACGATTCACTCTTGGAAGGATAAATTAGGGTATTAAAAATTAATGGGACTTGAAGGAGCAAATGATTTTATTTAGGACTTAATGGAGTATAAGTTCACAAAATGAGACTTGTATGTAAATGCCCCTTTTATTTTTAGTATAGAACTTCATCAAAGAAATGATGTCTCAAAACAAATCATAATTTTAAATTTAAATTTTATTAAATTTTTATTTAATACAAATTTTCACGTAAATGTTATAATATTTTTAAAATAATTAATTATTTGTGAAATGAAGTTACCATTATAAAAAATACTAAAAAATTGTGTTTTAGTAGTGTGAAAACCCATTACCTAAAGAATTAAATTGATGAGATATAGATTTTTTTTTTTTTTTTTTTTTTTTTTTTTTGAAAACAAAATCAATGAAGGTGGCTAATAGGAAAGGTGCTCATAATTATACATATTTTAATTTCTTTTCATACCCATCACATGTATTAAAATATATATAATTTAGGCATAAATATTAGTACATATGAGTGTACAAAATAAATCAAAAAAGAAAAAAAATGTACAAGAGAAATTAATGTGTGTAATTAAATCAAAATATTTTGAAGGTTCTTAATTTTTATCATGAAATTTAAAGATTTGAGAATAGTTATATATGGTATGAATAATATAGTAATATAGTAAGAAGTAATTTTTAATTTTTTTTAAAGGAAATAAAAATCATTAGGAGAAGATTAGGTTGGGAAGCTATAAAATATTATTTTTATCTTCTTTTTTTTTTTTTTTTGAAAACTATTACTGTAATGGATTAGCTAATACTATTTTTTAATTCAATAAATCCAGAAATTCATTATGAGGTTTTGGAACTCTCACAATGAGCCTCACGAAAACCCCTTTTTACTTATATAATATATATATATATATATATATAAATAGATTTAATAAGAATTTATATTTGTTTTATATATTTTTTTAATATACAAATTATTGTTTTTAGATTTTTTATAATTTGACAATCCCATCACTAACCATGGTGTATGGGAGAAGTTGAAAATGGTATAGCAATAGGTATGGGGGAAAATAAAAAGGCTTGTGGGTTAGGAGAAGTCAATAACTAGCATATCACCCGTGCTATGCACGGGATTAAATTTAAAAAAAAAAAAAAACATTCATAGTTATGTCAAACATATTTTTAAATTGTTAGCATAAAATATATGTAATTTTAAAAGAAAATATTGACATTGCATAATTAAAGTAATAAAAATAAGAATTTATTACATTTGTTCGAAATTCACTGAATAAGTAAAACAAAAAATAACTAAAATCTAAATTGTAGTGGGCCTTCCATTAGCATTCCTACATTGTCAGCATGATAGTTAGTATTATAATTAATGAACAACACATAAATTATGTATTTATAAAATGTTATAAAGTAAAAATGTTATACTTACATTTATTTTTTTTTACTTTCTGAAAGGTATAGACATTCTTCAGACCAATCTATATTTAAAACAAAGGTCATGCACGGTGCACAATCTAGTTGACGTGGCATTGTTGATACATGTATGATAAATGCATAGGCATGGTCTTGGCATGACGCAATATAATCTTTAATCATTCTAACGCCATTATCCTATAAAATTTTGGAATTATAACTGTGTGTTTGAAAATGTAAGAATAAGTTATTTATAATAAATTTTATAATTTCTTACGTTTGATCTCATATTCTTCAAATATGATGGTTGACATCGTAAAATAGACTCTGCCCGTTTATCTTGAACAGTGAGATTTATTGAACCAGTACTGTCTTTGACCACAAGGTTAACATTGTATCTTACCAACCAAAAAAAAAAAAAAAAGGACACTTGTTAAAAGGAAATATTGTACCTAATAAAAAATTAAAACACTTGTTAAGTTTAAATTATTACACTACTACAAATACAGATAAAGATCACACTTTTTTTGTGTGATGTATGTTTTTTAATCACACCTTTTAAGTTTTATTAAAGTGTGGTATTTGGGAGTGTGATTAAAATGGGTCATTTTTAATCACACTTTTTAGGTGTCATTAAAAAATGCTTTCTTCACATCTTTAAAGTGTGATTAAAAATATTCAGATCACACATTTTAAGTGTGATTAAAAACATTTAGATCACAGTTTTTAAGTGTGATTAAAAACATTTAGATCACATCTTTTAAGTGTGACTAATAACTAATAAAACCTGTAATAAAAAAAAAATTGACATATTTGAAGAATAATCAATATTATTTTATACGCGCATTTCAAGAATGTAATATACACTGTATACTATAATTTGAATCACAACCACATATTGAATAGAATAACGTCATATATTTCATAAATGAAAATTAAATATGTTCAAAAGTATATACAAATGAATTAAATAAAAAGTTTTAAACCACGCTTACATATATTAAAAAATGAAAAAACTTAAAAAACTAAGTTCTTGAATTCTTTGACCATATTTTGCATCTCTCCAAGAATTTCTAACTTGAAAAATGAAAACAAAAATTAATTTAGAAACCGCTAGAAGCATATGAATAAACTAACTATTTGTAGAGACTATTCTAGTCTTACAAAAGATAAAGTCCGACCGATCACACCCTTTCAAATGTCTTAAGACTTGGACAACAAGGTATCATTTCTTATATCGGTGAAGGGAGGCAAAGATGAACTAAATGATGGAAAGTGGCCAGCAATCAATGAAGACAAGGTTTCCCCTGTCCTCCACAGGCAGCAATTTGCTGACAGCACACAGGGTTGTCATTTGTTAAGTTCATCAGAACCTGCCACAAGGAGCATAGTATAAGTGTTGACAATCATCACATGAATCACAACCAGGTCAAACAGATTCTCAATAAAACACATTTTTAGCCACTCCATTGCAGATGCTCCCATCTTTTCTCCAACTTCTATATTTCAATATTCTATTTGACATAAGTAAAACCAATAATATAAAAAATATTTGGAACTGATGGGCAACTTATTAATGTTGTAATTTATCAGAGATATTTTGTTACAGGAAGGATCATGCTCCCTTATTCATTTTCTATTTTTCTTCCTCGAATAAACAACACACAATCAAATCCTAAAATCAATCAAGTTTTAGAGCAAAGCACACACCCTTGGGAATCAATTCAGAACAAAGTGGCTTAATGACAGCTGTTAATGTCACGAACTACATGTAAAACGATAAAATTTGTATGCTATGTTGCCTGTTGTCTTTATGTTGAAGTTCACACCAGTCACTCTTTGTTTATCTATTGTTCTGAATCCTTTCTTTTGCATATGAAGTTTATGCTATTAGTGGTGGTGGTGGTGGTTAGGTTTCTATTTTCCTATATACTTGTGTTACTCATTTTACTGTTGTTACTTATCAAAGAAAAAATTACTATAATAATTTTTTGCAATAATTAGGCACCTTGGTATTAACAGGCCTTATTAACTCAAATCACTTAATACACTTTATGGGTGAATATCTAATTACACATGTTAGACACGTACAAAAAACAAGACATTGTTATGCATAGAAAAGCAAGACCCACCGTACGAATGACATAAAGGAAAAATGGCAGGATGGCAATTCTTCCTGACTCATCTTTCTTGAACTTCATGAAGTTTGACGAACTGAAAAAGCGTCGACATTTAGGGCCTATTTGTTCTATACACAAATAGGCAATGTGGCAAAAGTCCTCATAATTCATCTAAAAATATGAGAAACAAGACATGTTTTAGCATCATTGCAGAAGGGAAAAAAAAAAAGGAGTTATAAGGCTATAACTGTATGAGGAATATAATCAGAGATGTTAAAATAATAATAATAAAAAAAAATAAAAAAATAAAAAAAGAAGAAGAAGAGTTGTATCACAGCATCACTAAATACCTGTACATTAGATCAAACATGCCAAATTATAAACTTCAAAATTAATAAGCTTAAACAAACAGTTAGCAAGAAATCTAAGAAAACAAATGCACCAGATGTGGCTATAGCAATCTAACCCACACTCAACAACATCTACATCAGTGAATGTCTGCTAATTCAATAATGTGAAACAAATATGACATTTCTTTCGGTCAGGTTTGAATAGAAAATAAATGAAAGACAGAAGAAAGAGAAAAACTATGAAAAATCAAGAAAAAAAAACTGGCATGAGAGAGAAAGAAAACAAAGTATTGTACTACATGGATAATTGGTAAAATGTTTGCACAACAAAGTAGTGTACTTCAAATTATCAGGACATGTCAGAAATCCAGAAGAATCTAAAAAAGAAAATAAGTCAACTACCACTGCTAGTGTAGACATTCGCAAAGAAGCTGAACATATATATTAGATTCTTAGAAACATGAAAGAGAAATTATATAAAAATGATAACGTGTACAGACCTTTCTAGCACCAGTGGCATCATCAATCACAGTGCAATTGATCTTCATTGAAACCTCTTGGCTTTCAGAATTAGAGTAACTAAAAGCAACCGCAGCAGAAGAAATATAAATTTATTTACTAATTCTAATAATGCATCAAAGGAAATCTACATATACTAAACAATTGGCACAGGCATTGCCATAGAGCAGAGTCATTAACAGTTACTTCTGCATATTTTCTTGGCAATCATTGATAGTTCCAAGGGATAGGCTATTCTTAAAATCTTACATGCATATTCCTCAATCATTGAACCTTCCACTCCTTTACAAACACAGAACAACAGTGTCCTTAGGTATTTCTTCTGCAATGCATCATAAACACCTACAAAAATTAAGAAACACAAACAGATTAAGAAGAGTGTAAGAACATTTGAGTGTACAAAAGTATCATATCAGCAAAATCTACATGCCTTTCTCCATCCAATCAATTAGTCTGCAAAACTTTGCATCCATTGGTGTAAGCTTCTTGATCTTCATCTCTGTTCATAATTTCATGATTGTTCAAATATATTCACCAATGAGAACTTAAATTTCATAGAAAACTTGAAGTAAATCTGATGATGACAAACTCACCTTAAGGCAGGAACAGACTTCTCATTGAAATATTTCTCAGGAAAAAGGCCTCTTATGTAACTAATGTTAAAAATGGCAATGTGCAGTAGATTCCCTGTCTGTTTCAGACAAAACCATTAAAGAACATGAGATCAACACTGAATAAATTAACATCAAAAAAGTTTTTGAACATCCATTTTTGAAACATTAATGTCAACACAAAGACTGACCATTTTTATATAATTTTATGTTTGGGAGGCCATAAATAATTTTTTAAATATATTTTGATATTTATTTTTATTAAATTAGTTTCTACTTTTTCAAAAAAAAAATTGAATTTTTTTTTCTGAAAAAAGAAAGAAAACAAACATGGTCGTATTTATGGATAGATTAGGTGAAATGTTTACCAAGGCATATGAGGGTATAAAAGTCATTTGACATTTTAACTAAATAGATTTGACTTGTGTTGATTTCAAGGAACAAGGGGGGTGACGGTGTGATTTCAAACAAATAGAGGGGGTGTCGTTGTAATTTACCCTAAAGATTGCTATGAAGGATAGTCATACACATGGATCATACTTTATCACTTTTTTACGAAGATATCGTAAGTATATCTACTGTGACATCATACCATACTAAATATTTGTTTCAAAAAGAACACACAGCAACAATGAAGAACAAGTTCCATCTCAGCACATTGGACAATCGAGGTTCCAATTGGTATACATAATATTGGTGCAAAATCTGAACCATACACTCAGATAATAATGCACAATGTAATATAAGTTTCAATGTATAAAGTTCATTAGAACAGAATGATGATGTGCTCCATACTTCTATTCTATGCACCTGTTTATGTTACCATTCTCCCAAAAAAATAATTCATATGCACTACATATCCTTTCAGCTTTGCATCCAATTATATGAGAATTACTAAGGAATAGTTGTCAAATTGTATATGAATCGTGTATTATATCTTGCTCTTTTTTCTGTTTAATTCAAAAAATGTCACATTGAAAAAAAAAAATTTACAACATTACACCAAAATCAAAAGTAGCGGACACAATAGAAGTATGTCTAAAGCTAACTTACAAACTAAAGTCCAAAATGACACTTGCACCAGTAAAAGTAGCTAGCAACAATTACTTACATGAGAGACCAGCAATAGCACCAAGAATAAGAGATGAAAAACAAAGATCAGTAAAAGAGGCAATGTGTACAAAGGCTAGATTGATTGTTGCGGGCAGCAGCAGGGACAAGAACTGAGCAAAAGAAAAGAAGATTATAGCGATCCCGGATTTACCCTTGTTATACAGTGATCCGGACATGTGTCCGTGGATTGTTGGTAGTTGATTATTATCTTGTTTACATCCTTTTACTTCATATTTGAGTTATAGGATGTGTTGGGCAGGTTTGTTACAGGTTGGTTGAGTTTAGAAACCAAAACTAGTTGCCCAGATTTTGACCTGTCCGCTCGAGCGGGGGTTTTAGCGCTCGAGCGGGAATTGCACCCATCCAGTATTTCCTATGCAGGGTTGGACGCTCGAGCGTGGAGTTGGCCGCTCGAGCGGGGTTGTGTGAGTGCCGCTCGAGCGGGGTGTTGGAAGATCGAGCGAGGACCTGGTTCTGTAAAAGTTCTGGGAGTGTGTATCCTCCGCTCGAGCGGGATTGTTGACACTCGAGCGGGAGTCTGTGAGTGACGCTCAAGCGGGGTGTTTGACGCTCGAGCGGGTCGACTGGGTTTAAGTTCCGTGTTTTGACTTTTCAAATCACTTTTTCACTTTCTCTTCTCTCCCCTACTTTTCCAAAAACACCATTGTTGAGCCTCTCACTCTAGAACTCTACCTTCTCTCTAGGTTTTGATCTAGTACGAGTGATTTGCTCATCTTTGGCCTTTACAAAAAAGTTGTTGATCATCGAGGGCTACATTTTAAATCTGAAAATTTCGGGATTTGGAGTACGTTGGGTTTTGTCATCTTCTCCCTTGGGGCTCCGAATTTGAGGTAGGGATATCCTACTCCTCTCTATGGATTTTGTCTTTAAATTTTAGCATTTTGAGATGTTGGGGTTGGTTTGGTAATCTTGTGAAAGTTTGGGGCTTTTGTGCAATTTTACAAAAGTTGGGGTTTTAAA